TTGGCCAGTTTCTAGGGCTGGCTTGGCCAATGGAGAGCTCTAACAAGCTCGAGTCAGGCACAGGGTGGGAGGGCAGCAGGTTGCTCAATCAGCTCAAGCAGTCAGGTTATGCTTTCATGCTGAGGTGGACCAGGGGTGCTGGCCAAGCTCCGTAGCAATAGGCAGCAGAAGCTAGGGGGGAGACTGCAATTAATTGCTTCAAATTCCACAGTCAGATCCTTGAGACCTAGTATACATCCCTTCTGAAAGCAGAGCTTCACACCTAGCTGTGGCCAAGACACTTGTTCCCAAAACTGCATGGGCTATAAATCCTCTCCCTAATTTGGTCTATGTAGCTTCCTGTTTTGGCAAGCCCTCTGAATTTCTGCTGCCTGTGGTGATCCCACCAGAACACCTCCGCAAAAGAAACTAAAGTTTCCAGTGTGTGTGTGCAAGCCAAGAAAGAAAAAAAAAAAACCAACAACAAAACAGGAGACTACCACAGCGTTGCTCACAGGGATCAGTCGGTGCAGGTCTGCGATACACTCCAATGGCAGCGGAGCACAGTGAACACTGTGGTACCGGGGTTAGAACCTTCAGTGTTGCAGGGGAGGTGGAGATGAGACACACGGAGGAGACAGCTCACAGAGAGCCGTTCCTCAAGGGGGGACTCGTGCTGAAACGGCAAAGACTGAACACCTAGAATCTGGCCAAGATGCCAGGACACCAAGAAGCAGTGAAGATGTTTAATCAGGCCCAAAAGGGAAGCAGCTGTAGTGGGTTCTCTTACAAAGCCTTTCTCCAGTCAGGAGGTGTGGATTGAGCAACAGGCTGACATCAGCCAAAATAACAGGATGGTGAAGGGAGTGGCTCAGATGCTAAACCATGCGGATGGTACTTAGGTCACCATGTAAAACATAATTTCTGATTGGGAAAAAAAATAAGACAGAATTGCAGCATTGTTACTTAATCCAGGAAACTTTGTCAGTAAAGTTCAGTGTATGAACTGGCTCAGCATGACCATGCGAAAAAGCTACCAGCCTTTTACTGGAATTCATAAGCGACTGCATCCCTGGCCACAGCGAGGATAAACTAGCAGTGGAGGCTGCCTCGCAGAGGCAATTTCAATTTCTTTCCCTGCCCCTACAGCCTCAGAGCTGCCCTGGAGAAGATGCTGTGTCAAGTCCAGGTTCTCACCCAGCAAGGATTATGTACCCCAGGCCCGGCTCACTCATTATCCTGAGCACCTCACTTGCAGAAGCAAGTGGCAAATGGATTTACCTTCAAACCTCATGATTATTTAACCCCCACCCTTATCACACACCTCTTTGATCAATCAGTTCAGATCTGTAGACAAAGAAAAGGCTGTCTCACTGCCCTGTTAAAAAACAATTTTGGATTTAAGATACCCAACAAGCCAGAATATACTTTGCCAGCAGTTATGACTGGTCTAAACAGTAGACAAGTGGTATTTGCTGATCCTGCTGTTGAGCCATAGGATCATCAGGCCAGCACATGAGTCCCTATAAAACATCTCCACCATTCCTCTAGCTTCTTTATTTGCCTAGAAGCTCACTTGCTAAGAAAAAGCCTGTGTTTACTCTCTGCTTTCTTCATCTTTTCATATACTTTGGAATCGCTAGGGTCTACCTCCCTCCCCATAAATGTGAACGTTTCAAGTTGAACGGGGGAGGACCATGTTTGTCAGCGTAGTATAGGAAAGAACATCCACTTCCAGTGTTTTCTACTGAAAACCCTTCTCCTTTGCATTGTCAGCTTAGACCTGCTTGGAAGGCCTTATGTCATCACAGACCTCTTCAGGTGGGAAGCATTCAACACCTTCTTGCTCTACTGCAGAGGCTAGAAAAGCAGCTTGCTCCAGAAGTGGCTCGGTACAGGAGTACTTCCTGAACTACTTCAACCTAATCTGGCCCACAGTCACATCACAGTAACACAACCACACAGAGGCCTATGATAACAAAGCAGAAAAGCTAGGAACACGGCTGGAAATTGAAGAGACTGGAAAGGAAGAGGGAAAGCGACTGAGAATCTGCCTGTTTCTACAGCCACATCCAGCATAAGAAACACCAGTGCATAGTGAGACTGAGAAACGGGAAGAGAAACAGACACCACCATTATGTTAGATCAACTGGAAACTTTCTCTTCTTGTACTACACCCTTCAGAAGTCCCTTCTTCCAGAAACAGTTGGTAGGAGACAGTTCTATTCCTTTCGCCATGTCACCGCCAACCATAATCTGACAGACCTCTTTTTCAGTTTCTGCTTTCCTCTTAGGTAGGAGTATCAGGATTGAGCATCAGCACCTATGAAAACAACCAAACCCTAAGGACTAGGAGTCGGACAGAATCTCTTCTTGACCAGCACATGAGTTTTATTCATTTTCTTTCTTGAGAACGAGATAGGATTTCATTTTCAGGTACCATGTTTTATCTGATGTCTGCAGTAGCCCAACTAAGAAAGGCACTATTCATTGTCCAGGAGAAAATTTTATTTTCACCTCCAAAAACTAGTGGATTGTCCTTGTGTTATATCACAAGTCAGAGGATGTGCGAAAGGTTACAGCACTTTAATTTCAGAGTTCAGCTGTCCTGCGAAGAATGCTGCCTTTCACAACACTTTCTAGGAAGATTTCAGAAACTTTGTAAACACGCCTGTCTCACAGCACCAGGATTACAGTCTAAAACTAACACACTAATAAAGCTGGTCACAACTCCCAACATGCCTCCTCCTCTCATTTCAACCCCTTCGTCCCAGAACACAGAAGATGAATAGAATTTGGGGAAGTACAATAGAAACCGCAGGGCCGGCCCGCTGCTGCCGCGGAGATCGGGCCGTGGTGTCGCGGTGTGGTTACGTCACCACAGCGACGGCCAGCACGGCATGCTGGGAAATGTAGGCCGTGGCGGCGGCGGCCGTGGCGGGGGGAGCCCTCCGAGGGGAATGAGGTTTGCGGCTGTGCTGGTGTCCGACAAACCTCTGCCCGAGGGGAGGAAGGAGAGGCCGGGGGACCCCAGGCAGCCGCCAGCTGTGCTGGTGGTGTTTGTCCTTTTCACTGTGTGAGCTACTAAAAACTCCAGACTCAACAGTCCAGTTCTGCCTCTGGTTGTACTCTGGCTCCCTACAGACCATCTCGCAGCTCTTCCCACAGCTTTGTTTTTTCAGCGGCCTGAGCCACGGTTACACAGTTGAACCATCTTACACTTGGACCTTGGACTCCTGGCGTGGAGCTGAAAGCTGGACAAAAGATGAAAGGAGGAAGGTTACAGAGAGACAATTACAATCTATAGGAGGAAGGTAGAGGAGCACACTTGGCATATCTTCTTCATGGAAACTGCACCAAATACAGCATCTTGCAACTTCACAGAAGTTGTTAAATTACATCATCAGTTTTAGAAGTAAACAGCTGTTGCTGACATTTATACCTAACAGGCGCACACACATAATTTTCTTCCTCTAGTTCACTAATCTGAGAAATTACCATTTTCACTGTTTACAAAAAGCCATGGTTATGTATTTTTCAGTGGGGACATGTGAAAGATGAAGAAAACCAGGGCCAAGTCAAGCTGGTCTTCAGGACCACACTGTATTGGGAACCACGGAAACATTTGGATTGGGAGGGGTCTCAGGGAGTCATCCAGCATCCCAACCCTTTTCAGTTGAGCTGCTCCAACCATGGTCCAGAACCTATCTAGTTATTCTGGCTTGGGGACAGGAGGTCATGGTGTTTGTCTTTGCTGAACTTCAGGAGGTTCCGCATTTTGTTCCCTGAGCGATGCCACCCATACTTGGCTGCCACTTGGACTTCAAGCCATTGACAACGGCACTTTTACCTTGAAGGTCCTATCCCTCATCATTACCTTGCCTGCCTGGCAGGGGGGCAGCTGCCATTCTGCGTCTCCTTCACCATCCTCTGCAGGAACAGGTTCCCAAGGGCCAAGGGGGAACACAGGAGCATTTCTCGGGCTCACAAAGGATGGGGTTAGGAAACCTGTAGTTTAGCTGCAGATTAGAGTGACAAGGAATGGGCAAGGGCAAATAGAAAGGCTTCTACAGACACCAGCAAGTGGAAAACCTACAATAAAAGAGTCCCAAGCTAAAATGACAGGAGCCAAAGCAGAAGCCCACTCCTGTACCACTATATTAAGCAGCATATAATTAATATTTGTTTATATTGAATCCAAACAGCAGTGTACTACAAAAGTGTATCTCAGCATTGGTGTATGTGTTTTGTAACACTGTGACACTGCTGATACCGTAACCATCAGCAAGCATTTCGTAATACAATCAAGCAGAAATAAAAAAACCTAATTATGCCATGAGAAGGGAAACAAGGGCTTGTGGTATAGAGGCAGAAACAGATACTGGAAAAACTTACACAAGTAGTAAAATCTTCAAGGTAAGAACTCAGGATAAGAACAAGCATGAAGGATGTCTGGTGGGAGCAGAACAGGCAGGAAGGATATTTGGTGAAACCTGAACAAGTTCAGTCCTGAAAATATGATAAACTATATCATGAGCAGATGAGACTCCTTTCTCCATAGAGTGTATGGCAGAGCTGGCTGCCGAATAAGGGAAATCTTTTCCACTGTACAAAAGGTTTCAGTTTTCCAAATTTAATACGTACAATCACACCCATATGTAGAAGTTGTCTAAATTGGTCTTTTCATTAAAACATCTCAGTTGAGAGTTGTCTCAGTAATTGTAAGCTGCAAAAATATAACTTTCTTCTGCATTTGGGATAGACTCCCTCTATAAACAGTGAGGAGAAAGAGATCCTTTTGGGATTGGATCCATCTGATCTGGGCTTCTGTTTTATGAAAAGGTGAATCACCTTCTAAGTTGACTATTTTTATCCCGTGATTACCAGATGAAGCCAGGAAGTTAGTTCAGATGCAGACATTACTAACAAGTCACCTACATTTAGTCAGTTGGTTCCCATCTCTTGTATTTTTATTGTGTATTGCACCAGAAGCACACTATACCTTCTCACTTCTAAGAAAATCACTGAGAAAATACTCTTCTCTCTACTGTTTTCCTTAGGGCATCCTTCACTTCTTTGTTCCTCAGGCTATAGATCAGGGGGTTCAGCATGGGAAAGACAACAGTATAAAATGCAGAGATCACTTTGTCTGTGTCCAGTGAGTAGCTGGAGCTGGGCCGTAAATATGTGAAGAGGAGAGAGCCATAGAATAACCCGACAGCCATCAGATGGGAGGTGCAGGTGTAGAAGGCTTTGTGCCTGCTGTCTGCAGCGTGGATCTGGAGGATGGTGCTGAGGATGTGGGCGTAGGAGGCAGTGATGACCAGGAAGGTGCTGGTTTGTATAAAGCCACACAGGGTGAAGAGAAGGACCTCGCTGGTGTGTGTGTTGGAGCAGGAGAGCTCCAGCAGCGGGGGGATATCACAGAAGAAATGGTTGATCACATTGGAGCTGCAGAATGACAATGTGAATGTGAAGGACGTGTGCACCAGTGAGGTCAGAGCCCCGCTGAGATAAGCCCCAGCTACCATGGAGGTGCAGACCCTGTGGGACATGGCGACGGTGTAGAGAAGAGGGTGACATATGGCCACATAGCGGTCATAGGCCATCGCAGCCAAAATGAGGCACTCGGCATCAGCGAAGGCGGCGAAGAGAAACATCTGTGTTGCACAGCCTACTGAAGAAATGGTCTTCCGTTGTGCTAACAGATTCACCAGCATCTTGGGAGCAATGGCAGATGAACAGCTAAGGTCTAAGAAAGATAAACTGCTTATGAAATAGTACATGGGGGTACGAAGGCAGGCGTTGAGCTGGATGAGGACAATAAGGCCAGCATTCCCCACCAAAGTGGTGGCGTAGATGAGTAGGAAGAGCCCAAACAACGGTTTCTCCACCTCTGGACGGTCGGTAAAACCCAAGAGAATGAACTCGGTCAGTGTGGTGCAGTTTTCTTCAGGCATTTCATTACCTTGTGTTTGGCTTCATACACAGAAGTTTTGTCAGGGGATCAGTCAGTCCTAGTGCGTAAGCAATGCAGAAACATGTTACATCCTTCCCAACTGGAACTGTAAGCATCTCACCCAATCTCAGAGGGGGAAACCAGTGCCTTAGAAGATGCCTATTGGAAGGAAAGCTTAGGAGGACATTCGAAGAGAGCTTTACAAGCCCCCTTTATATGTGGAATTCCTTCCTCTATATTCCTTTCTTATATATGAAATTGAACTTCAGGTGGGATTTTATTTAAGAGCTAGACCATAGTGCAGGTATAAAATAAACTTGGTATATCTCTTGAAGAAAAACATATTATTTGAGTATAACAGCTGCTGCACATTTACCTGTGTGACCAGCAGAGTAAGGAATTCAGGCACAGTTAATAATGACCTTTCTGAGGCAGCAGTTGAGTTGAACACTGAAAAAAATGGATTGAAATGCTGGAACATAAGCAGATATTTAATTTCTTTTTTTAGCCAAAAAAAGATAAAATTAGTTTGGAACTAACAAAAATCACCGAGTCCAAAATGAAATGTTGCATCTCATTCTGGGATTTCTTACGAATATTTTGTGGGTTTATTTTCCTGTGGCTGATTAATTCTTAAGCAACTGATGAAAAGGAAGACAGGAATATTGTTTTTAAATATTCAAAGACAATTTTTTTACATTTTCCAAGCAATTTTCCCCACTTTTTTTTTTTCCAAAACTATTAATGGAATTTGAATTAGACTCGGTTCTCTAGAAAATTAATTCTGGGTATTTTACCTTTCCAGAAAAAGTGCTTAATGTAACTTAACTTTGCAAAAGTTAAGATACCTTTCTGCTGATGCCAGTATAAAGCCTAGGCAGGGCAGGTACATCTTGCTCACCTTTACCTTTACAGGAAATATAAGGATTACAAAAGGACATATAATAAAAGAACTGCAGACACAGGTCAGTTAAATAATCCTGTAGATATCAATGTTATGTGGACAAAGACATGGACAAACCAGAAATGCCTATGTTCCTGAAAAAAAAAAAAAAAAAAAAAAAAAAAAGGCTTATTCATTCAGGATAGGATACTAGATGGTTACAGTAGAGTCGGGGGGTTCAGAAAGGAGGTTTTAGTTCCCAACTCTAGTTACAACGAATCTCACCTGAATTTGGCTTTCTAAAGGTTGGTCTGGGTGCATCACCTTCAGCTCCATCTATAATCGTTACAGAGCGTAGGTGGGACGCATCCTATCCGGCTATGTTTGTGTCTTTTGATGAGAAATGAAGCCTGGATGACCCATATAAATACACTGCCAAAATTTGAGATGGTTACACTCAAGTGAGATGAAACCCATTTTAGGCAGCTGTGCTTGATCTTATTTTTCAAGATCCTTCATTCCTGGTGAAGGCTTGGTGCATCCTAAAATCTGGATCGTTTTCTGGATGCAACTGTTTACTCCAGAAAATATCTGGGGTGAGTCAGGTCATGACATAGGTCGCCCAGTTAGATTCCTAGCATAAGGTGACAAGTACCACAAAAATTCAATAGTGTTTTATTTTTAGCTGAGTCCAGTTAAACAGAGACCATGTAAAATCACCATTTATTTTGACATTATCACAGGTAATTTGAGATATTTCTGGTGAAACTAAAAAAGAACCTTTTTGCCCTGAAAAATATTCCTTGGTTACGCACATGTGGCTGTTTCTTCCTATTTTCAGCTGTTGATCATGCTCAGAAATTAAGGCATGGAAATTCTAGCAGCTGCTAACAATTCAGTGGTCTCTGATGAAGACCTACAGAGAGATTTCAGTTTCCAAAATTAAAATTAGGTGCAAAAATTTAAAAAAGAAAACAACAAAAACCCCAAACCAAAACCACCTCCCTTTTAAAATATTTTTTCATAATTATTTTTTCTTTTGTGGTATCATGATGCAGCAGTTCTTTTCCTTTAGCGCATCTGATATTCAGTCAGTCAACAGGGCAGCTGACTTCGAACAATTTCTACACAGCTCCCCGAATGGAAGGAAATTTTATGCATTAGAAGACTTACCTGCTAGGGAAATATTTCCTTTTTTTCCTGGATGCAGGAAATGCTTCTTTTGGGGAATGTCATAGATTTTGTATCTTCCTTTTGGACACATGAGACCATGGTGTTCTCAAGGGAAGAGCAGAACAAACAATTAAAATGCTACTGGTGTTGTCCCAGTGTAGAAATGTTTCAATGACATAATGTGCTCTAAAGATACTGTAAGCACTCTTGGAAGTGTCTGGGTAGCCAGGGATCAAGTTAGGAAAGCCAGAGCCCTGACAGAGTTAAATCTGACCAGGGACATCAAGGGCAACAAAAAAAAAAAACAGGTATGTCAGTGATAAAAGGAAGACTAGGGAAAATGTGGGCCCTCTCCAGAAGAAAAGGGGAGACTTGGTTACCCAGGACATGGAGAAAATGAGGTACTCAGTGACCTTTTTGCTTCAGTCTTCATCGACAAGGGCTCCAGCCACACCATCCAAGACACAGAATGGAAAGGCAGGGACTGGGAGAATGAAGAACCACCCACTGTAGAAGATCAGGTTTAAGACAATCAAAGGAACCTGAAGGGGCACAAGTCCATGAGACCTGATGAGATGTCATCCATGGGTCCTAAGGGAACTGGCAAATGAAGTGGCTAAGCCATTATCCATCATATGGGAGAAGTCATGGCAGTCTGGTGAAGTTCCCACTGGCTGGAAAAGGGAAAACATAACTCCCATTTTTAAAAAGGGAAAAAAGGAAGACCCAGGGAACCACAGGCCAGTCAGTCTCACCTCTGTGCCCGGTAAGATCATGGAGCAGATTCTCCTGGAAACTCCACTAGGGCACATGGAAAATATGGTGGTGATTGGTGACAGCCAACATGGCTTCACTAAGGGCAAATCCTGCCTGATGAGTTTGGTGGCCTTCTACGACAGGGTTACAGCACTGATGGATAAGGGAAGAGCAGCTGATATCATCTGCCTGGACTTGTGAAAAACAGTTGACACTGTCCTGCGTGACATCCTTGTTTCTAAATTGGAGAGACATGGATTTGATGGATGGACCACTCGGTGGATAAGGAGGACATGGATCTGCTTGAGTGGGTCCAGAGGGGGCCACAAAGATGATCAGGGGTCTGGAGCCTCTCCCCTGTGAGGACAGGCTGAGAGAGTTGGGGGGGTTCAGCTGGAGAAGAGAAGGCTCTGGGGAGACCTTAGAGCGGCCTCCCAGGACTGAAAGGGGCTACAGGAAAGGGGGGAGGGACTCTTGATCAGGGGTGTAGGGGTAGGTCAAGGGATAGTGATTTTAAACTGAAAGAGGGGATTTAGACTAGGTCTAAGGAAGAAATTCTTCCCTGTGAGGGTGGTGAGGCCCTGGCACAGGTTGCCCAGAGAAGCTGTGGCTGCCCCCTCCCTGGGAGGGTTCAAGGCCAGGTTGGACGGGGCTTTGGGCAACCTGGGCTGGTGGAAGGTGTCCCTGCCCATGGCAGGGGGTTGGAACTAGATCTTTAAAGTCCCTTCCAACCCAAACCATTCTGTGATTATATGATATGCTTAGACTGGAAACCCATAAATGAGCAAAAAAGTGCTGAAATGAGAATGAACATTTTGGCAAAATGGAGTCCCAACCTGTGATCTGGAGTCATGGATACAAGGCCACTGTGACCTTGAAGCAATCACTTTTAGAAAAAATATCAAATGCACCTTGCAATAATTTAGAAGGTGGAATTCTGCCAGTCATCAGAACTTTTGGTAACAAGATTATATCAAATTAAAAAGTGCTGGTTCTCATTAGCTAAAGTCCCTATATCATACAGAAATAATACACCCAGATGAAGATTTAGAGCAGTTTAACTTCTTAATAAAAGTAGTGAAGTAACAAGTAGTTAATATTTTTCATTAATATCAATTTAGTTGGAAAAAAAAATAGCTAATCCTTATTCTTTCATGAGAGAGTTGTGATATTAATTAACCATGAATAAAGTAAGAATATCAAGCAGCTATCTAGGTGGACAGATACAATTAAAAAAAAATCTTTCAATTCAACTGCTCTTCACTAGCAGATACTTAACTTGTTTGACAAATGCACAGCTGATGCATTTTTCTGTTGGGAAACGTGTAACTTTCAACATTTTATTCTCCAACTAAAAAGCTTTATTTGCATTGCTTGTCTTTTTCCTTCCTTATATCTAGTTCATGTGTGTAATGGAGGGCATATGTATGTTCATAGGCTTAAGGTCTTAGTTTCATTTAATCTGAACCTGAGACACTTCTCCCAGTAGTGTCCAATAACATCTAAATGGGATGAAGACAACTCTGTATGGCATGCAGTTTGTGTTGGTCATACCACCAGACCTCAGGGGCTCCAGAGGTCAGAAGAACCCTAAAACCACATGAAAACTCACCTTAACTAGTGTTAGGCACCTAAAAGTTATTAATCTAAGTAAGTTAGTTGGGTTCTTTTAGCTATCGCTGGCAAGAAATAGGCACTTCCAAAGGATGACTCATCCCATCGTAAAATAAGTTTCTAAGGAAAATGGCTTATATTGCTTTCTGCAGGTCTCTCTCCCCCTTCCTACACTGACTATAAAATAAGCCCAGACAGCTAGGTTAGGCTTGCATAGCTCAGTTTTATGCCTCTGAAATGATACAAAATGGATCCTACCCTTCCTACCCCATACACTGTCCCTCTGCACTTAGGCAGAACACAGTTTGAGGCTCTGGGGTGTGACTTCACAGATGACACCCCTGAGGCAAGACCCTAGATATTGACCAAAACAGTCACAGGGGAGGGAAGCAGAACACCATGGCAGAACTGATTTTTATTTCTCCCATTTCAACAAAATGTCTGTGAAGAGATGGGAAAGCTCCCCAGAGGTTTCCAGTAGCTGGTGATGGATGTATTTGGACCTTCCAAAACTCTGAGCAAGGGCTAAATCATGACATGTGGCAGGGATGCAATGGATGCTCTGGTCTGGGGGGGAGTGATGTGGGTGGGGAAATCCCCTCCAGAGGAATATGGGAAAATTAGCATGTTTGGGTTGTTACTCATCTCCACTATTTAATTTGATATTCTTACTATGGGGTTCATCTCTCAATTATAAGTTACTTGTCTAAGCCTAACTTCTAGACTACTAGGGAAATAATCACTCAAATCCTAAAGTGTCCAGAGCTCAAACATCTATATATAGGCTGAATTCAGGAGAGGATTGTGTATCTCTCTTCTGATCCAATTGTGCTTTCAGAGACCAGTCATGTGTCTAGTATTAATCAACTATCTCAGATGATTACAGACTGTAAATCAGAAAAAAATACATCTTAATGGTCCAATAAGGAAGACTGACAGTGATATAAACTATCTTTAGATTGAATAAGGAGAATGTGGACAGATTTAATCTTGCACATGTTGGTATTGTTTTATGAGGGCAGGCAAAAACTTGAAGTAACAATTACCCTCCCTTCAAGTCGGGTACCTCTAGTTCTCGTATAAAGGCTGATCATTGCACAAGACCAACAATCCTCCGCAGCCTGTTGCTCCATATGTCCCCATGACTTAGAGGATCTGTAGCCAGAGAGAAAAATGTTGTCTATGTGAAAACAACACAAAAAGAAAGCTCCAGCTTCTTGTCAAAATAAGCATTAACATTACCTAGAGAAGAATATAAACCCTCTGCTTATGTTCTGGAGGGTTTTTTTCACTGTTGGGTTTGTGTGTTTTTTTTGTTTTGGTTTGGGGTTTTTTGTTTTGTTTTGGTTTTTGGGGTTTGTTGGTTTTTTTTTTTCCTAATGAGCTCTGTATTCATGAATCAAAGACCTCAGCAGGCTGCAACCATTGCATCACTCAGTGGGATCCCTCCGGGACACAGCACTTAAGAGAAGTAGGTTGTGAAAACTGCTTGTGAAGACCTCACCATTCCCCTGCTGACTGTGAGTTCCACCTCATCTGCAGTCGATGCCAGGCAGAGGGGCAGAATGTGCCAACAGCTTGATCCATAGTTAGAGCTTCTCTAAATGCCATTGTGTCCAGCTTTCTAGTAGCATTTGCTCCTGAAGAAAAGAAAGCAACCTTTTTAACATTAGTTTCCAAGGTAGGAAAAAAAATCCATAGCCTGAAATATTATAAAATTTGACAGACTGTTATTTGTGTCACTGTTTTATTCTCTATCCTTGCTCTGTACTTTAAATTTTGCACACAGAATGCACATAATTGCAGTCTATGCTCATATACACAACAGAAAAATATTAATGAATTTTGATATAAGGAACGCTAAAAATAATGTCTAAAAATAATGTGGTCATAGAGAGGAAAATTGTTTTGACCTGATCTGGGTTCTTTTTCTTATTTTGGAAAACAGGAGAATAATGTGAATGTCCATGTGGCTTCTTTTCCTAATATGTGGAGGCTTTTGGACTCCTGCTCCTGAAGTTTGTACTTAGAGTGAGAAATGACATTCAGGTCAGTACTTCACAAGAGAGGTCTCTGCCCTCATCCGGGGCAGATCTGTGATAGCTGCAGTTCAGTCATTCTCTGCGGTTACAGCAGATGCAGGGTTGGTTTAAGACTTAAACATGTCCGAGTCTTAATCTCAAACCACCAAAATCCTCAGAACTTCTAATATTGGCTTGATGAGTGGTGAAATGTGGGGTAACTTCAAAAGAAGAATCATTTAACATTAAGCATCAACTTGTCATACAGCCTGTAGTGTTGGTCACTGCAGATAGCACAGCTGGCTTGTCTAGAATTTCCTACAGCACAGAGGATTAGCAACCAAGCTGTTGGGCTCTGCAAGTTGCTGCTAAACAACTGAACCACTGTAACTGTCTGAAAGTGCACTCTTAATTACTCTCGATGCAATGCAAATAGCAACAGCTTAAAAGGTATTTCAGTCATTCAATTGTTTCAGTAAGAAGCTCCACCTTGCAAGCTCAGACATTCATTTAATGCACCTGCAATTAACAGTTCTCATTTTCTACAGGACCCTAAAGAGAAACGTCAAAACAGCACCACAGTCTGAAAACGAGAGCATTTTCTTGAAGTCAAGATTTTAAGAGAAGTGAAAAGGTAATTATGAGGTCACAGTGTTCTTTGCTTTGTTTCACCCACAGACATGCTGTTATTTAACATGCCTATAAAGTACGGTGGTCTGATTTGTCTGACTAAATATTATCCTCTACAGAGATAGACTTCTACAGCTTATCTGATCACTGTGTGCTCTTTATAAGCAGTGATGAGAAACCAGTACCTCTAAGAGGCAATTCATTTCACCCCAAAGTAAGTAAAAATTTTAAATAGCTTACATGAATTTTGCCTTAAAGTCCCTACTTCTTTTCTGTGATGGTAAATAGAGCCTCAGACAGCTACCTCAGATGTAGCTCTCCACCTTAGTAGATAAAGTTGGGCAAATGGATTCTGTCTTCAGTGTTAGCTACTATGTTTCCTTCAATTTATATGCAACTCCTTTCTTAAAGTTGGACAAAACAGGTGTGATTTTGTCAGGACTCACAGACTTTCCTTCTGCCATTAGCACAAACGGGTTCAGGGACGCAGGGCAGGGTCCATGACTACAACACTCCTGTCTTCTCCTTTGATTGGTTATGTTTGGAATTAGCAAATAAACTCTAACAAAATCATCATCTGCTTCTTAACAAACTGCTTTTCTACATGGGTGATTTTAATTGTTTTGTTTTTTTTTTTAAATTTGGGGGTATCTTCCTATGAGGACTTCTCAGAATTGTACTGGCCAACGTAAATGTTATCCTTAGAAGCTGAGAGCAATTTATTACTCCATTATTTAAGAACAACAGAACAGATAACCAGAATCATCCTGTTGTTCCTCCACCATAGACACTAATAAGCATTTGAGAAAATTTAACAATAGAACTGAGCCGGAAATATGAAAAAGGATCAGAATGAATAACGAGTTTCTCCTCTTTCCTGGAACAATCTCAGTAATAGAACAAAAGACTGTAGTTACAGAAGTGTTAAATGGATAACAGTAAGCTTCTCAAGAGAGCTGAGTGAAGCATCCTGTTCTTGCATACTGACAACTGGGTGTCCATTAAAATAAAGCAGCATCCAATTTTCTCCTATTACATGCCTGCCTGACGTTCGCAGTGTCATTATGACTTATTCTTCTAACCAGAGTTGTAACTTAATGTTCTTTGATTTCTCTCCTTAAAGATTCAGGTTCATTTAAGGGAATGTTCAGAAGAAACGAGACAACTGTTGATGAGTTCATTCTCTTGGGAATCACAGATATTTGGGAACTGCAGGTCATTCTCTTTGTGCTGTTCCTTCTGATCTGCATCACCTCATTGGTGGGGAATCTTGGCATGATTGCATTAATCAGGCTTGACTCCCGACTCCACACCCCCATGTACTTCTTCCTCTGCCACCTCTCTCTGGTAGACCTAGGTAACTCCTCAGCAGTTGCTCCCAAAATGCTAGTGAGCTTCTTTGAAGAAAGGAAAGCCATCTCTCTGCCAGGGTGTGCAGCCCAGATGTACTTCTGTGGAGTCTGCATAATCACCGAGTGTTACCTGCTGGCTGCAATGGCCTACGACCGGTACGTGGCCATCTGTAACCCTCTGTTCTACATGGCCACCATGTCTCAAAAGTTTTGTGTCCAACTGGCCGTGGGATCCTATGTAGTAGCTACTGTGAATGAAACAGTGCTTGTCAGCTCCGTGTTCAGTTTACACTTCTGTGGCCCTAATGTCATCAATCACTTCTTCTGTGACATTCCTCCACTCCTGAAACTTTCCTGCTCCAGTACTACTGTCAACGAACATGTGCTTTTTACCATTGCTACTTTTATTACACTCAGCACTTTAGTATTCATTGTTGTCTCTTATGGTTATATCCTTACCACTGTCCTGAGGATCTGCTCCTCAGAAAGCAGGCATAAAGCTTTCTCCACCTGTGCTTCACATTTGACATCAGTATCACTTTTTTATGGGACTATGATCTTCATGTATCTCCGCCCCAGTTCTAGCTACACCCTGGACCAGGACAAAGTGGTGTCTGTTGTCTACACCCTGGTGATCCCCATGCTGAACCCCCTGATCTACAGCCTGAGGAACACAGAGGTGAAGGATAGTCTCAAGAGAATCCTAGAAAAAGTACTTGTTTCCTTTAGAAATCAAACGGGTAAAGAGGTGTCATAAACTAAACAAAATAAACTTGGACATTCTTGAGCTCCAGTCTCCATTTGGCTGCTGACCATTTAAACTAAAAGCCAGAAGAAGACAGTAATCATGAGGACCCAAGAGCTTGTGCATGTCATTGCTACAAGATACAGTGAGCCACTGCCTTCTTTCTCCTCTGTCAGGGTGTAGCTATACTGTCTGATTTTATCCTTAAACCCACTAATTATACTCAAAGCCTCACGTGCACTCCTTTCCCACATACCATACCCTACTTTGAAGACTTGCTATTCTTTGTGTCACTCCATAAGGAGCTGTGTTCTCCTCTCACATTATTTAGTTCTTCTGGCAGATCTCCAAGAGGGAGTGATGGGGCAAAGAGGAGATCCAGGTCCTCATGGATGTTTGCTAAAAATAAATCTGGGCTAATGTGTTTGAAACCAGGAGCATTTCCAATTGGCAGTGTAGTCTGAGTTTGCAGAAGCCAGGTTTAACATTACTAACGAGCAGTGCTGTTTTAAGATCAAATAAATGCATGCTACATATGCACATTCCTCAGCAATCACACAGCTCAATGCAATCAATTCTATGTGACACCTTTATAGGACCCTATGCTGATACAGCAAACCCATCTATTTTTAAAAGACAAACAAGAAAAAGTCCAGCTGGGGATTTAAATAGAAAATGTAATCTAAGATGATGGATCACCACTCACAATTACTTATTCATTAGCAGAACCAATGCTAGAGCACACCACATCAACTGAACCCCTTATAAGGGTCAGAGAAAAGGAGAGCTTTTGCCTCAAAATACTTGTGGGGAAGCTCCTCCTATGTGCCACACAGGAAAAATTACTTTGGGAGATGCAAATTTCACCTCTTTGATAGTGAAGTGCTCAGAGCCAAGTAAATATGAATTTCTGTTAGATACACAAAATTAGGGACATGATTCTTAGCCCTGCAGAAACAGAGTGGTTCAGACACACCTGTGACACAACATTCATCACAAGAGAGATGGAGGATGACTAGTTTCTAGCTTGACATCAAATTCACTGAACGGACCATGAAAAACTACTGGGTATGACATGAGAAACCACTGGACATAAGAAATAACAGTGAGGAACTGTCAAATTAACAGCACCATGAGAGATAGACAAATTTCATCAGTGGTCAGAAGGGCACCAGAGGTGCTAGAGGTGGGCAGACCTCAGAGGTGGTTGAAGAGCAAGCATTGGGCACCCTTTGTGCTGCCAACCCTCACAAGGCCAGCAGTACCTAGGAACCATACCAGAAACACCACGGATCTAGTTTACCTGGGTATCAGGAACAGCAAAATCAGATGTGAATGTAGCAAAACCAGAAACAACGTGGAGAAGTGATCAGGGTGGTTTTTTTTATTTGAGAGGAGACGGTGGGGGAGAAACTGAGGTATCATGGCTGATGAGGGAAGAGCAAGAAGGGGACAACAAGAGAAGGGAGGTGGTAAAAGGAGTTGGTGGTCTCTAAGCAGGCTGCTGGTCAGTTTGTCTGGCTTGACCACTGCAGCTGGGCCCAACCTCTTATTAAATTGTATTCACGATGATGAGCTATGTATTTATGACTAATTCTGCCAACAACTGGGTTTTAAAACTCGGAAATTCTTTTGGGGAAGAGATGCAGAGATGCCAGGTATAGGCGATGCAATTATTTCACCATAGTCAGCTGGGACATCAAACATAAAAAAATCTTTCAATATGGCCACGCAGACAGTAGGAAATACACACACCTAGTAGAACGAGAGTTCCTGGTCACTGCCACTGTATGTGGTAGTTAGGGAACAGAAGGAAAACGGCTTTAAGAAGAGATGGAGCAGAACATCAGAGCGTAGCCCTAAATATAAAGGAAAGGGATTTAATATTGAAGATACTCAGGAGTATTTTATACCTGGGTTAGACAGGCTGAGCTGTGTTCTCTTTCAGAGTCCAAGGAAGTTTAGAAGCAGAGGCGTGTTCCTGCAACATATCCACGTGGCTACTGTCAGGGAACTGCACGGGCCAGCTGGTCCCCAAGGGATGCGATGCAAGGAGCCAAGGGGGATGCTGGGGCAGGCAGTGCCTCGATCCTGGGGCATAGACCTGCAGGGGCTGAACACAGTGGGCAGAGCCAAGGGCTGGCAATGGGCGCTGTTAACAGGCCCAGCAAGTAATGACCTAGATACAGGGTCTACTCACAGCATACCATCAGGATTGACGGGAGATGGGCCAGGAACAGAGTTGGAGACAAAGCTTCACTCTTGACCCAGCATCCATCCAGGAGGCAGAGACACAGCACACTCAAGGAAAGTCTGATAGCCCTAAACTGAGCTTAAAATGGGGCTCCTGGGTCATGGGCAAGGAGGGGCATGTGTGTGGAGTGGTCCAGATGAGACTCGTCAGGGCCATTAAGTCCTGTTAGTGCCCTCAAGGCCCTGGCAGTTTCTAAGGTGGAGTCAGGAAGTAGTAGCAAGAAGGTTCAGTTTTGGTCATGAATTAGCAGAATAATACCAGTGAGAGAGTGAATCTCTGTAAGAGGAGTGATTCTTTACGAGAAGTTGAGGAACTCATTAAGACTCCACTGCTAAGGGCAGTCCTATGCCATTTAACCCCTCCCCTTGCTGTCCAAACTGAAAGGACTAAACATAAACCTCACTTTCTGAATCAGCTCAAATGCCTGCTTTACATGATAGTAAGTTTTCAGGGAATCACAGCTTCCCAGGTAGAGGAAATATAGTTTCTAATATATGAAAATACAAAGTGCTTAAAGGGTGGCTACAAAGAGGACAGAGGCCATATGGAGCATATGGAGAAGACAAGGGGTGACAATTTGCACTAGGAGAGATTTTATCTTGACATGAGAAATCAACTTTTTACAGAATAATTGTTCACTGGAACAGCCTCTCCAGGGATGTGGTAGAGTCCCCGTCACTGGAGGATTTCAAGGTGCAATTGGACGGGGTGCTAGATAATCTCATCTAGGTTCCCTTTCCCACTAAATGTTGGACCAGATGATCTTTCAAGGCCCCTTGCAACCTGGGCTGTTCTATGATGATTCTGTGAATTGCCACCGAAGTAATAAACACTATTCCACGTGTGTGTGCGTATGTGTGCGTGTACAGTCCAAGGTGAATGATAGTTCCGTGTTAGTCTTTAATCTTCTTGTTCTCAGTGTTTATGTTGGCTCTGTGAATTGCACAGCGTCTAAACAGCTCATCTTGTGTATTGTGTGTGCGTAAGTATTTAAGAGAGGAAAAAAAGATTTTCAGTGGAAAACAGCCCGCTTAGAGGAAACATGAAACAAACCTAGTCACTGAGTCCAGATTTTTGCAGTTCAGACGGTTGAAGTTAAAAAAAACAAACAAGTGTCTGCTGAATCCTGTGCAGTTCCCCCAGAATCTCTTCTGACTTGTGGAGGTGTCTGTCCTGGGCCCAGGCAGATGGGGAAGAGATGACTACCTGGTGCTCAGGGAAGCCATCCAGACTGTCCATTCCACCACTGCCTTCCCACCCCGCTGGCCCTTGGCAAGTCACTTGACCCAACACAGGTATTTATCCTCCTCTTCCCAAACAGATATCAGTCACTCTCTAGAAATGCTGATTCCTCTGAGCTGAAGTGGAGGAAGCATTGTTTCCCTTGTGCTCTGAAACCAGCTATTTTCCCTGTTATCTGTACAGAAAGTTAGTAGCTTAGACCTAGACAACTAACTTTTGGACATCTGAGGAGGATTTCACCTTATGAGATGTATCAGATTCTGCATCTCCTGATGTCTTCAGAATGAAATTGGAGTATTGGTGTGTTTCACCCTCATAGAAGTGATTTGACTCGAAATAGGAATAACTGGATAAAATTCCATGCATAGACAATCCTTTAAAAACTCCACAAATCTATTAAAATATTTGGTTTCTTAAGATTTGAAGTGTAACATACAGTTCAACAAGTCTTGAACAGAGAACAGGCAATTTAAGAACTTTTACTACAACTATAATTGTTTATGATTAAATACTTTATACTTGGGCTTGTGCTTACAAGAAGTAATTACAATGTTACCTCTGGGACCACTTCCCTTTGGCATTTAAAATTAGTTATGGTGTCTCAAAAGTGAAATTTTAAAATGGGATTTCAATTCTTCCACTACTTTGCTATCACTTTGAATGAGTTAAATCTTTGTGAAGTACCAAGGCACTCCACATTTATTTCTTACCTACAGATATCTAACATTTCCTGGGACTGGGGAGAGTGTCTGTAATTTTCTTTTGTGTATTCTGCTATCAGTATTCCTGTTATTGGATGAGTTTCAACCTTCTTGCAGCTTCAACATTTTCAGGTACAGAAAGAACATTCTTTAATTTTACAAATCTTGAACAGAGATGTGTCAGGATTATTTCAAGGTATTTTGGTCTGTATGAGAATTCATGTATGTCCAAGGCATGTTTGTCCGTGCTGATAGTTATGTCATGATAAAATGATGGTTTCTCTAAGAAACCTCTTTAAACCTTGAGCAAAGTACTTACTTTATTTTTGTCTACTTTTTTTCTCACCTATAAAACCTAAACGACTCTCATCCTTCAAACTGCTTTGCAATTAGAAGATATAAAGTTCAGAGCTTGTGCTATCTACTAACATCAATAATATGAGGAGAGGATTTTCAGAGATAGGTAAGTGATCTAGAAGCACAGCTCTCAAGTCCATGGAATTTCTCATGAGCCATTTGGTCTCAGATACTCCAAAGTATTTAGAAAACTAAGTCCTATAGAAAATCCCACTCGAATTTTTTATACTATTGCTAGAGTAAATTTCCCTTCTCGCTCCCAGAGGCTTACAGTTTTCAGATCCTGAAGGATGTTTTTTGATGTGGTATGATACTCATTAAAAACATTGCCACAACTGGTTTATTGAAGGCAAAATTTAATTTATCTGTGCCTACACAGTGTAGTTATGTAAATTATAAATGCCTGAACAGAATCAGAAGTTGAATGTGGCTGCTTATGTTGGCACAGGCTTTAAAAGGGTTGTGCATATATGTGCTTAATGAGAGAAAGATGTCTTTCAATTTCTACATCCATCTTAAGAAAGATGCTGAATTTGATGTTATTCAAGTTCTTATAGGTGACATCAAAACGGATAGAGTCCACTTAGTCTAGAGAATTCATTTATTGAATAAGAATTGGATTAATCTCATTAAACGTCAGGGATCGAACCCATCTCACTGAAATTTAGGTGTTTAGATATGAGCCCATTGCCACATTTGCACAGGTGCCAGTGAAAAGCTCTTGATACAGTTCATACAAATCCTCTGCAGCTTTTTTATCACATGTTCTTGTCCCGTGCAGATGTCTTGGACACTGTGGCGTACAGTAAGAAGCACCGATGCTTCGGCACCTTAAATCCTTCCTTTCAAGTCAGGGGGGATGCACCTGCCTTGGCTGACTAGGAGATAGGTGCTGAGCAGGCTGGGCCCCCTGGGCTGCAGTGCTGTTGTACGGACTGGTGTGGTAGCTCTGCCATCGCACCTACCTGAGACACTAATCTTGGGCTGAGGCAAACCACCTCCTTGAATTGAGCTTTTTAAGATTATTTGTCAAACCCCCTTCCAGAACAGTTTTGGAAAGGTCCTTCATTTTGCAATGCTTTCCCTTGACAGCATAATTGCTAATTCAGGCTGTGAGAGTCTGCTTGGTCTTAAAAACAGAGGATAGGATTCAGTTTCAGGTTAAGGCATCAGATTTAGGCACCTACATATAAACATTTATATGTAAGTTATACATCTACATTTCTGTCATTACTAAGGAATAAATCAGATGTCAATGTTAAGTCCAGAAGTCTACTCAGGATCTCAGGAACAGCTGAGAAGTTGAGATAGATAAAGTTATCACCTACTAGCTGGTGATCTGAATTGCCCTTTAGAGTCCATTGGCTGTATCAACTAGGCATCCAAATCATTTCTTCAGGCACAGCAGTCTGGTACCACTTGAGACATCCTGGTGTGACCTGTCATTTGTCCAGTTTTCATTCCAGAGGAGCACAAGCCCTCCAACATCCCCGCATCACATGTGACAGCTGCCTTCAGAAGTCTCAGATACCCTACAGCGTATCAAGTGACATTTATTAGTGTCCTCCACAGCGTTATTAATGTAGGCATTCTGCTACCCTCCTTCTACTGCATGAAGACTCAGGATCCAGCAACTGTCACCATATACTGCTTGCAAACTTTCTTGTCATGGTAAAGCCTTAAAACATCATAGACAATGCTGCGTAAAGACAGAACATGAACAGTAGGAGCTATAGTAATGAAAGTGCCACGAGGTCCTAGATATACATTAAGGTAGTTGGACATATTTAATGTTAGATGTGGTCTGTGTGCTGAATTTTGCTTTATTGCAGGATTGCATATTTGTCCAGAAGAGTAGATCTGTGTCATAATGAGAGTGTCTGAAGGACTCCAGAAGTCTGTTTCATGTTTCTTGCTATGTTAAGAAAGGATATTGATAACTGGGATTTTAATACATAAACTTTTGATCTACATAATCTTTTTGAATTTTCTAAAGAGGATTGTAACTCCGTTGGGCATTAAAATGTGTATAAATTAGGCATTCTTCTGTTAAATCTGTGTGATTAGACTGCAACCAACATGAGCAGGAATTCAGCTAAATGTACCATGAGAAAGCTTTCTCATCATATTCTCATTTCTCTGGTCACTGTAATAGATAATATAAAATGGATGGTATGTTGTGTCTCGTATATTATTTTCCACAGCAGATTCTCCCCCCTTCAAAGAGAAATATACGCTCATTACACTTATTTTGCAACGGATTTGAGTTGACTTTGTTACTGTTTTATATCTTGACAGTTAAACCACTGGAATAATAATGGCCAAGGAAAACCAAAGTGTTGTGATAGAGTTCATCTTTCAAGGCCTTTCCTCCCAGCCAAGGACACAGACTGTTCTTATCATAGTGTTCCTGGTTTTTTATCTGTTCACAGTCATTGGGAACATCATGATCATTACAGTGATCAGAGCTGATAGCCAGCTGCAGTCACCCATGTACTTTTTCCTTGCCAACTTGTCCTTCTTAGACATCTGCTACATCTCCAGCAACATCTCCCAGATGCTGGTGAACCTCTTGACCAAGAAGAGGACCATCTCCTTCTCTGGATGTGCTGCTCAGATGTATTTCTCTCTGGCTTTTGGCATGACAGAGTGTGTCCTGCTTGGGGTCATGGCCTATGATCGATACATGGCAATATGTCACCCCTTGCGCTACACCGCTGTCATGAACAGGAAGGTTTGCATTCACATGGTGGTGGCTTCCTGGACCAGCAGCCTGCTGAGCTCCATGGTCATCAACAGCCTCACCTTGCGGCTGCCCTTCTGCGGGCCTGACGTCTTGAACCATTACTTCTGCGAAGTACTAACAGTGCTGGCCTTGGCCTGCGCTGACACTGCTCTTGTGGTGTTGGTCATCTTCGTCTTCAGCATCCTCATAGCCTTCATCCCCTTTCTTCTGATCGTCACCTCCTACATTTACATCCTTTCTGCCGTCTTGAAGATTCAATCTGCACATGTGCAATCCAAGGCCTTCTCCACCTGTGGATCTCACCTGATGGTGGTAACCATATTCTACGGGACAGCTCTCTGCAAATACATGAATCCTAAGTCAAAGCCTCCACAGGACAGGGACAAAGTGGTTGCAGTGTTTTACACCATCATAGTCCCAATGCTGAACCCCCTCATCTACAGCCTCAGGAACAAGGACATGAAGTGTGCCCTGAGCAGGGCAATGAATAGACCCAAACTCCTGTTTATTTAAAGGCTTTATTCAAAGGTGCTATTGCATTTAGTTCTGTGAATTGAAACAATACTCAAACATGATTATCTCTCCACCTGCAATTGTCCTAGACTTATTTTTAAAAAAGCTGAGATGAAATCATAGATGTTCTAAATTCAGCAGCACCTAAACAAAAAGACCTTCCATACAAATAACGTTCTAAATAAAGTTTGGGATTTGGCCTAAAACCCAGAGGCTAATTAAAGACATTGTGACTTCAGCCTGCCTCACTCTGGCAATTCATTTAAAATAGAAGTGGTCAAACTCCTTGCTTGGGTTTTTGGGCAGATTGCTGTCCCCTGGGGGAAGGTCCCATGCCAGATTTCTACCCCTACTGCTATATGCCACCTTTGAGTGTGCCTAGAGGAAAGGTTTGGGTCAGCTGGCCCAGGTCCTTGCTGGGGTAGGAGGTGTTGCCACTTTGGTGAACAACTCATTTTTCACAGCCCAGCAGAGACTGGCAGATATGAAGACAGATATTCCTGCTGCTCAGCACCATCCCAGAGGAAGACCCTCCAGGAGCATTAGTTATCCTTGAATAATGTCAGCTGAGCAATCCCAGAATTGAGTTTGCACCTGGTGGGCTATGTGCTGGAGAAGCCTGCATCTTCTGCAGTCTCTTGGGACAGTGTAAGTGAGCCCTTGGATAGATGAAGCCTTTAGCGGGTAAATAAAAAGATAAATGCAAAGATATTCAGTGCAGAGTAAGTCAGAAAAGGGGTAGTGTAGCCAGAACCAGACACCAGCCTTTTCCTAGACAAGCCCAGGCTCCCACCACACCTAAAGGACTCCTTAGCTTTTTTTAAAATATTCTTCCCATGAGTGAAAGATAGGGAAGATAAGGCAAAGCTAAAGTACCTGATTAGTGAAGGCAAACAAATGCATATGAACTGTACGTGTAGGGAGAACAGGAGATTTCTGAACCCTTAACAAGGCTAAATAAGAGGCCTTGTCTAGCAGTAGATGGAGGCAATAGTCGTAGCGTGACCCACTGGAAGCCTCTCAGTGGGCATGAACTCCAACATCAGCTAAGTCATTAAATCTGTTTCCATCACAAATTACACTTCTCCCCTTCCCAAAACAAGGAATGCCCCTGAGTGGCAGCCACCCAAGAGTTATCAGTTTAACAAGCCCTTCTGGGCATCTTGAAGAAGCCTCTAATGATCTTGAAACCTTCTTAGAAAGCTCATAGTAAACTTACCTCATTCTTCCTAACAAGCCCCTGGGGACAACTTCACAGACACTGAGGAGAAGAAAACTTTTCTCTTTATTAAAGGCAACGAGCACTTCTAAAACAGTTTAGTTTGTCACAACTATTCTACATCCTGCAGTTGGTGGTTGGAGAGTTTATGGGTTGGCATGTGATTTTCCAGTTCTCCACTCAGTTGGTCCAGAAGTTACTGCTGGAGTTTGAAGGACAATGGCTCTGTGCATCACACCACCAGTAACCGAGAGAGCAGCTGCCCCTGGCCAACAACTTCTGGGTGGCAGAAGTCACTCAACACCATGCAAAAAGTGCCTGGGACATCACAAGGGGTACATCAACAGCCACAGCCATGGCAGATGATGAACCAGATTCAGGGTTCATCCAGGGGGTCCAGTCAGAAGCAAAAGGTGATGTGGCTGGAGACAAAATACAGTGTACATACATTTGTCCATCCAGGATTAAAACTATCTACAGCACAGGTCCAAGGTCTGCCCAGGAGCCAGATGTAGGCAGGCACATCTACAATGAGGTGTAGGGAAGGCCTGAAGGGCCCCTAAAGCAGGCGGTCCTAGTCCATAGAGGGGTGAGAGCATGGATGTGCCAGGGGAGGTGGAAACCCTGGTCAAGGCTGATCAGTACCCCTATGACCTACAGCTGCCGCAGGGTCCTGACCCACATGAACCACCTCAGTTCACAGATGCCAGCTGTGCTGGTGGTTCTCAGTTGCTTTCTGCTTCTTGAGGGGCTGCAGGCTGTGAGGCGGTCTGCTCCATCGCCAGCTCTCTCAGTAAAAGCATGGCTTGACCTGCAGCTATCCACGGCTCATCCCGACACTTGCCCTCCATCTCCCTCCCTTGCACATGTCAAAACAGTCCTTTCCCCTACTGTGTCGCAGCCTTCCATCTCCCTGACACATGCTGCTGCTTAAAACCAGTTCACTTTGATAGGGTATTGAATAGCATTAATGTGTTAAAAATGCTGAATGTTGTGAAAAACGCCATCAGTCCTAGTGAGTTCACTCTTCACACAGGCCAACGTCTTGGCAGGCTTAGGGGATTTCATAACCTCTCACTTCAGGCTGGGGAAGGGGACACTAACATCTTATTTCGCCTTAAGAACTTCTTGGCATGGAGCACCTGCCTGAATCATCGGAGAAGTGGTGCATGGCGTGAGCTCCTCGATGCAACCCGGAGCCAGCCTGTGTGAGCATGGGGAGAATCGAGAAAGGCCCAGCACAGGGCAGGGGTCTGCACCCTGAGGTGTTCTCAGGGATGTCATGCACGAGGAGAGGCTGAGCAATAAGATGGCTAATGAAATTCAGCGTATCTATATATAAATCAATGCACAGGGGGAAATAAAAAGCATTAACTTCAGCTCTGAGCTCCAGATTTTGTACTTGATCACAGTTTCATATTCTGCGCTAAACTAAGTAGATGGCAAAGGTGCCTCTGGTTCTTAATATAAACTAGAGAAGAAAACTTATTTTAAGAAAAGACACAAAATGAATTTGAATAAATCTTTTAATGTGTTCTTCATATATACAGAAAACTGTATTCAGTTCAAAGATAAGAAGTTACACATTTACTATCCTGGAGGCTAGTGGTGGCCAACAAATAAGGTAGTGCAGCATTTTATGATACAGCCTAAAATTATTCAGATATATATACATAAGCTTGTTCAGAATCAATAAAATTATCATGGCTTTTAAAATATTCTTCATTTATTTCTACACATTAAAACTCATGCTCACTCAGCATATGCATTAAGCGTTCTGGAAATATGGATTGCAGTCAGACTGCTTAACAAAAATGGAAAACAGAAACAAATACTTCTGGTTAACCATAAAAGAGTGATAGAGGTTCTAAGTAGCTGCACATGTTCTGATGGGAATTCCAACCACTGCACCCTGGTTGTTCTGTCATTCAGAGACCTGGAAAGGCTGGAGAAATGGGTCAAGAGGGACCTCGTGGAGTTCAGCAGAGTCCAGCACCCAGGGAGGAATAACCCCAGGCACCGGTAAAGGCTGGAGGCTTTAACCTTTAGCTGGACCAGCTGGAAAGCAGGTTGGCAGAGAAGAACCTGGGTGTCTGGTGGGACACCAGGATGACCATGAGCCAGTCCTTGTTGCAAAGTAGGTTAAAATCCTCCTGGACTGTGTTAGGAAAAGCATCGGAAACAGGTCAAGTCAGTGAGACCACACCTGGGGTGCTGTGTCCAGGTCTTGGCTTCTCAGCACCAGAGAGACAAGGACACACTGAAACAGGATGGGTGAGGGGGATTAAGGGACTAGAACATCTCATACCAGGAGCAAGCTCAGGCAGTTCAGCCTGGAGAAGACTCGGGGGGCTCTTGTCAGTGTAAAATGCCTGTTGGGAGCAGAATAAAGAGAACAAAACTGAACTCTTCTCAGTGGTGCCCAGTGAGAAGACAAATTGAAATACAGGGAACTCCATTGAAACATAACAAAAATCTTTATTCCTCTAAGGGTGATCAAGCACTGAAAACCCAGAAAGGTTGTGGGGTCTCCATCCTTAAAGCTATTCGGAGTGGACATGTGATTGACCTGGCTTTGAGCAGGTGGTTGGATGAGGTCACCTCCAGAGGTCCTGTCAAACTTCCACGCTCCCGTGATTCTGTGTGAAGATCCAGACCATCAACATCTCTGGCTCCTAGATTTACCTTTTACCTTGTTTTGCAAAGTGGCATCATGGCTATTACACGTGAGGTAGCGTAACTAACTTGGCAAGAAGTCTGTACATGAGACAAGACCGATGAAGCTATGTCAGTGGGCTCAGTTTGAGAGCAGACTAATTAATTTTTCAGCGCTAAAATATGAGGTGCCAAATGGTTTAGGAGGCAAAGTCTCAGAGACCGATATGAAACACTCCTTAGAGAGAGAGAAAAAGGAAAATAATATAACATGAGATTGTCCTTCAGAAGTACACTTTCCTCCTGATAAAACTGCTAAAGGCGTGCTTCACCTCCTTGTTTCTCAGGCTGTAAATCATGGGGTTCAGCATGGGGACTATGACGGTGTAAAAGATGCATGCGATTTTCTTGCTGTCCTGTGAGTCTGATGAACTGGGTTGCATGTAATTAATAGTAGCAGACACATAGAAGATGGTGACGGCTGCCAGGTGGGAAGTGCAGGTGGAGCAGGCTTTGCGCCTGCCTGCAGCAGAGCTCATCCTGCCCACGGCCACCGCGACATGGGCGTAGGAGGTGAGGATGAGCAGGTTGGTGGTCATCATGTTGAAACTCACAAACACAAACAGTAAGACCTCGTTGAGGTGTGTGTCAGTGGAGGTGACAACAAACAGCGGCGGCCCGTCACAGTAGAAGCTGTTGATGACCAGGTGACCGCAGAAGGACAGCCGGAACAGGGCGCTTGTGTGCACAGTGGCATTCAACAACCCTGCAAGGTAGGACCCAGTGACCAGGCTCATGCAGACACCAGGAGACATGACAGCCTCGTAGAGCAGAGGCTTGGAGATGGCCACATACCGGTCATAGGCCATGGCAGCCAGCAGGTAAATCTCAGCTGTGGCAAAAACAGCATAGAAATAAAGCTGCGTGAGGCAGCCAGCAAAAGAAATGACTTTGTTTTCTGATGGAAGGTCCAGCAGCATTTTGGGGCTGATGGTGGAGGAGTAGCAAATGTCTAAGAAGGACAAGTTACCGAGGAAAAAGTACATGGGGGTGTGAAGCTGGGGGCTGACCCTGATCAGGGCAATCAGGCCGAGGTTTCCCACTAACATCAGCAGATAGGTGCCCA